GGCCTCTAATAATGAGGCGGAATATGAAGCCCTGCTAGCCGGCATCCGTATGTGTAAGGCGGCAGGGGCCATGAAAATTGACGCCTACTCTAATTCACAATTGGTCGTTATCCAGTATGAGGGAAAATATGAAGCAACTCATCCGGCCATGATCAAATATCTTTAGGCAGTAAAAGAAGAGGCTGGGGCACTTGAGGAATTCCGTCTGAATCAAGTGCCTAGGTCGGAAAATAACTAGGCGGATGCGTTGTCAAAACTGACATCTTCTGCCTGCCATGATACGCCTCGGTCAGTCTTCTAGGAAGTTCTTGAAAAAAGAAGCGTCTATGAAAATCCCATAGGAATTCTGGATCGAAGCTCTACTTGGATGGATGGCATCCGGGCCTATCTTTCAGACGGTACGCTTCCTGATTCGCCACAGGATGCAGCCGTCCTGAAGAAGCGAGTTGCGGGCTTCGAGTTGAGAAACAGAGAACTCTTCAAGGCGGGGTTTCTTTAGCCTCTGTTGAAGTGTGTCACCCCAGAAAAGGGGAAGGAAGTTCTCAAAGACTTGCACTCGAGATTCTGCGCCTCTCACATAGGCGGCAGGTCCCTAGCCGTCAGATCCAGACAACATTATTTTTGGCCCACTCTTGAGGTAGACGCCAAGGAGTTGGTGAAGAAATGTGACAAGTGCCAAAAATTTGGCAAATTTATTCACCGTCCGGCTACTGATCTGACGGCCATCCACAGCCCAATCTCATTTGCAAAATGGGGCATGGACATTCTAGGTCCTTACACGCCTGCTCCAGGCGGTAAGCGCTACATCTTGGTGGTTGTGGATTATTTCACCAAGTGGGTGGAGGCTGAGGCGGTTAAGAACATCAAGACCTCAGACGTAATTTCCTTCATCTAGAAGAACATTATCACCCGGTATGGGGTCCCTATGTCTATGGTGTTCGATAACGGTCCTCAGTTTGAGACGCCTCAGCTAAAAACTTGGTTGGGAGATCAAGGGATCTCAAGCTGTTTTGCATCAGTCAGTCGACCCCAAGCAAACGGCCAAGTTGAAGTGTTCAACAAACTAATCTCAGACAGCATTAAAAAGAAAATTGAAAGAGCTGGTGCCTAATGGGCAGAGGAGTTAATCCATGTCCTATGGGCCATCTGGACAACAGCAAAAGGGGCAACCGGTGAATACCCATTTCTCATGGTTTTCGATGCTGAAGCCGTCTTGCCCATCGAACATTACGAGCCGACTCTCAGAGTCATGATATATGATGAAGAGGTGTAGACACCCATTTGTGTCTCCCTAAAACCAAACCCAGTGATAAATACCTTTCACGTCGAACCATAATCGAATGAGGTGAAAGTGTAAAAAGTCTAGTGTTGCGGTTAGTTTTTGTTAAAATTCTTTCTTTCTGTTTTCGAAAACCCACTCTATTTTATGAAAACGTCCATTCCAGTTTAGTTTGGTCCATGATAAGGGTCCAATAAAGGTGTAGTTGGATGGGGCTTGAAAAGACCTTTCCAACGATATATTATAAGCCCAATTCCGATGGATAATGAGGAAGTTATGGCCAAAATACTAAACTGGGCCCAAACCGGATTTTACCTACGACCCAATGATCATGAGGAGGGTCCAAAGGTTTAATCCTATTCCTAAAATAATTAGGATTGATTAGAATCTTCTATAAGTTTCTAAAATATCTTAATTATCCTTTTTTGATATATTATCTTTCCAATGATATATTATAATAATAAATCCGAGCTATAACGGAAAAGATATGAATAAGATATCAAACTCTATCCAAAACTGACACCGTCTCACTATTTCGTTAATATATTTTATTCTACAACATATTTTAATCTGATTCAAATTGTTTTAGAAAGTAGACTTCAATATATTTCCAACGACATCTTATTCATATTATTCTGATTCCTGGATCAAAAGATATGATAAAAACAAAATCCGCAAAAACTGATGTCTACGAGTATTATTTCGATTCGAATTTGGATTCTTTTCTTAATTCTTCGACCCTCTTTTTTCCTATAAATAAAGGTCATATCTCCCCTTTTTTTCAATCACCAACTATCATCAATATTTTCTTGATTATTCTCTCTCTTTTCTAAACTTTGTTTTCACATACAAAATTCCGCATTCGCAAGATCTAGAAACACCTAGCTGTATTCGAAGTTACCTTCGCCCTAGACGTGAAAGGTTTAATTTCTGAGGGTTTGGTCCCAAATCTCTCTTTCAATTATTTAATTTAATTGTTTTGATTATTATTTTCCTTGAAGTTACTGACGTGTGTATTTTGTTATTAGAAAGAGGTACGAAGCATCAAAGTAAGTACTTTAATTGATTAATTGATATTATGATGTAGAAATCATGTTTATATTGTTATTATGATTCCTATATCATGTCTAGGGTAATTTTAATATCAAATATGTTTGTTACGATGCTTCCTATGTTCTTCCTAATATTAATTCATGTTAGTATCATGTTAGGGTTAAAGATTTGATTTTTATTGCTTAGCGACATGCTAGGGTTTGTTATTAATCTTGTTAGTATCATGCCTAGGATCTTGCTATTTTTATTATGCTTTAATATTAACATGAACATGATTATGATTATAATCGTTATAATTTATGATGATTGTGAATATTATTATTATTATTATTATTTTGATAATGATTATTTTATTTATGATTATTATTGTTTTGATTATGATTATAATTTTATGTTGATTATTATTATTATCATGATTATTATTATGTTTCTTGATGCTTATTTTTATTGCTTGATCACCTTTATTGCATGTTTAAGGGGAATTTGTACTTGTAATCACGCTTAATAAGATAATTAATAATCTTGTTAGGGTTATATGATTATAATTCAAGTGATCGCCAATAATAGTTTATTTGTGCATTAAATTCAACCAACATAGATAAACAGGTTTAGGGTTAATCCTATTGATTGCATGTTAATCAGAAAGCGCACATGAATACGAGCAGAATAAAGTAGAGGCCTATTAGTAGGGCAGGTTCAATCTCTTTTAGGTTGGATTTGTACCATCATCCCCGAACCCTTATTTGGTTCATGATCTTATGGAGTTAACGATCTCTTGGATCGTTAAGGGGTGTAACCTTCACCTCGTGAACGGTTTACAAGTTCCTTAAAAAAACTTGTTGGCGACTCTTTTGCTCTATCTTCTTCCCTTTTGGACGCCACCGTACTTTAGTGTATGATCACAGTGGGGTTTAAGCTAGTGGGATTTAAAGGTTTGAATTATTCCCTACAAGAGGCAAACTGGGAAGCAATGCGCCTGGCATTAGATTCACTCTCAGAACGCAGGGGCAATGCCGCCTTGCGTCATGAGATTTACCGTCTGAGAATGACCAGAGCTTACAACAAGAAAGTACACAAGCGTCCCTTGAAAGTTGACGACTTAGTGTTACGAAAAATGGAGGCAATCGGTAGGGCCAATGAGCTGGGAAAGCTAACTCCGAATTGGGAAGGCCCCTACCGGATCTATGAAGAAGTAAGAGGCGGCACCTACCACCTGGAAACTCCAGACAGCAGGCGCCTGCCTAGAACTTGGAATGTAGACAGTGAGTCGATTAATGAGAATTCAGACTTTGTTTGCAAAATCATTTTCGTTTCTCCACCTGGGTAATATTCAGACGGATTCTTATATAACTAACTAAGTTTGACACTTAGTAAGGGTTATAATTGCTTGACCGCTTGGGTAATACTCAGATGGATCCTTTGTTGATTTGACTAGGTTTGATACTTAGTGTAAATTTAATGTCGTAACAATCCGATTAAAAATTAAGCACAAAAACGCTTAGTGGCTATACAACCGGTCTCAAACTAGACCAAAGGCTTAAATGGCCGGATGGTTGCTTGTTTTATAAAACCGCCTGTCCCAATCTGGAAAAAGGCGTCCGACGACACCCCTCCGGGTGCAATTGTCACAGAGAACAGACTATCCGTCGGTTCTACGTACCTATGCAGACGACAAAAATTGAACGACCACATTGGTCAACTCATAGCTATCTGACCAGAATGATCTGTATAGAACAACCAAGTTACCGATTACCGGATGCCCCTAGGCATCAGTTGGTCACCGACTGAAGTTCTCACAGGTTATTTATTCCAAAGTTGCACTTTCTATCCCAATTGGGGCAAAAGAGTTGTGCAATGGCTATGGAATCTCTACCAAGACGGACAAACTCCGTCTTGTTAGTAATTGGAACGTCTGTTGGTGTACGGCTGTGCACTTGGTTTGGGGCAATCACTACTGTGATTGATTGACTTACAAACGTATCATGCTCATTGCAGCATTTGACGTTCCCAAGTCAATCAACCAACTCCATTTGAAACCAACCACACAGCCGTCCAGGGGCAAGGACAGTCAGGCTTTTGATAAGCTCGGCAAAAAATCACCGCATGATTTTGATAAGTTAGGCAAAAAATACAAAAATTGAAATTCAAACGCAAACGCAGAATGATTAAAACCGACTCAGTCGGTGCATTCCATAAAAGTCCACCCAACCAAATGGTTGTAGCAGAATGATTAATTGAATAATTGAAGAAAATGAAGATAATAATAGAAAGTAAATAAGAAAATATAGAGTTTTAGAAGATATAGATTTTTTTTGGAATTAGAATAGTAGATTGAAAATTTTTTGGGAAAAAAAAAATCTGAATTTTTGGGAAAAAAATTGGGTTTGCTGGTCCACCCAACCCGGCTCCACAACCGGTAAGTACAAAAATACTCGGCACGCAGGACGGAAAAGTAAGTTTTGGCATACTGTCGCAGAAATAAAGAAAAAATAAAAACAGAGATTGGCATACTGCCGCTGAAAAATCACTTCTGGCCTGCAGACGGTGCCTCCTGGTCCTCTTCCTCATCATTTGAGGGAATCTCTTCTGCTACACCCGGACCAGGTAGCTCAGGCGCGGGGGGCTCATTGTTGGAGTTGACCCAGGCATCAAAGGACTCAGGCTATGGCTAACCTCTATCTCTCAGGTACACCACATACTCGGCGTAACTGTGAGCCAGTGCCCAGACGCTATAATCCGCGTCTGGGTACAAGGCGGCCCAGGCGATCTTCATGCGGGCGTCATTGTCAGCATCACTTTCAGCAACCAGGCGGTTTTTCTCTACCTCCAGAGTTGCTGCAAAGTTTGTCTGAGCCTGAGCAGCCTCCTTCTTCAGCCTCTCAACCTTGGTCTTCAGGTTGGTGTTCTCTTCGGAAACACCCTTAAGTGTGCCAAGGTCCGCCTGGGCCTTCTTGAGCGCCTCGTCAGCTTTTTTGGCGCTCTCATCCGCCTTTTTCTGGGCCTCCTCTGCCTTCTTCTGGGCCGTCTCAGCGTCGCTCACTCGCTGGTTGGCCGTTTTCAGATCCGCCTCCAGCTGCTGGATTTTTGACGCCTGTGTCATTATGATTGCTTTAGTTTCAAGATTATTTACGATAATGGAGTATAAAGCAACATTATCAGCGTCTATGGCGGACTTCTTGGCCCTTTTTACCTCTTCCCGTTTGCGGGAATAAGGACACTTGAGCCCGTCTACCCACAACATAGCCTGCAAAAAAGCAAGTGGTATTAGCATTGCAGGCGGGGTAAAGCACTTGGAAAAAATAAAATTAACGAGTCCCTTACCTCAGCCAGAAGGGATAGAATGCGTTCCAGATTGAACGTCTCTATCCCAGGGATGTTGTCTTTATCCCTCTTCCGGACGGCGTCAAGCATGGCCTTGGCGTGCTTCTGGACGTCTGGCCAGCTGGGAGATTGATCTGCACCATAATCAATAGGTGATGAGAGAAATTAAGGCAGCACCAATCTGTTGTCGAGCGTCTGAGGATGACGTCTGCTGGGAGTGGGATTTCACTCGAAAAGGCCACCCCAGCTCAGGCGGGGATTCAAAAGGGTTCTTTCCTTCAGAGCCGGCCAAGCGGGAACCACTTGCAGGCGTGGTGAACCCCCCGGTTGCTGTTACGGGTTTGACGAGGTCGAGGCCTAGGCTGTCGCCTACCCTCTCGTTTCGTCCCCCTAACCGCATCTGTTGGTGCCCGGCTGAGGCGCTAGGAGTGGAGGCGGAGGTGGATTTTTTGGTTTTGTTGAGAATGGAGGGGGTTTCCTCCCTAGCCCGTTTGAGATTTTTCTCAAACGTCTTTCCAACCTCTCCCCCCTGCAAAAATAACCAAGTTAAAGTTAGCATCCGGGGAAAATAATCTTTAAGCCCAATCTAAGAAAGGGTCAGGCGTTTTTCACCTTGGCCTTAACTGCGGCCGCAGCTTTTTCCGCAAGCTCCTTGCGGATGACTGTAGAGGACCGCTTGGGAGTCTTCTCTTTCTGCAACATGTTTAAAGCTTCTTCTGCAAAAAGAAAAAGATTGGTCAATATATCCTTAATCAATTCTGATACAAAGGTACTGCAGGCGGATACAAACTCAGGCGCATACGTTTGGTAAACATGTGTCCTAGCCTGCAGGCGGCTAGGAAACACTCATCCCTAAACCAGGCGCTCTTGGGGATCCAGTTCTTGGGAACTTTTATTGTTTCCCCGGTTGACAAGGTTGCGACTGTGAAGCTGAAAAAGTCTGCCTCAATGATCTTGTCAAAATCCTCCTCTGGGATCCGGGGAAGAGCGCACTTCCTGTCCATCAGGTCGGGCTTCTTGTTGTACTGGCGGAATTCATAATTCTCCCGCCTGCTGGGATCTGATGTCAGGTAGAACCTGTGCTTCAAGCCGTCGAATTTGGAGACCTTGTCCAAGGTCATCATATATTGGGGATGTGTGGTTAGAGTGTACCACACCCTCCAGCCGCCTGGGCTTCTGCTAAGATAATGCATACTAGCAAAAGCCTCCCAGCCGGGGTTGAGCCCCTGGAATTCGCAGGCGGCAACGTACCCCAAAATGTTTGCCCAAGAATTTGGGGTAAGTTGCCAGACTCCGAGGCCGTAGCCTCTCAATATTGCCTTCACCGCCTGGTGAAGGGGGAAGTGAAGACCAGCCTTGAACGCCGCCTCAAAACAGCCAAAGTAGCTGTTGGCGTTCTCTTGATCATCCTCCCAGGTGATGATGTCGTTCTCAGGCGGCACCCTGATTCTATACCCTTCTCCTAACGGGTGCATTTGCGTAAAGTCCTTTAAGTTCTCCTCCATTTGGATCCGGTCCTTGGCGGAGACGTGGATGTTGAAGGGATCATCCTTCTCGTTACACTTCTTCCTCTCCTCCTCCTCGCTATCCTCAAGCGGGGGTAAATCGTCGCTGCTCTCAGAGGTGGAGGCGGATCTGTCGCTCTCCGTCTCCTCCTCATTTTGGGTCAAAGGGGCTGACACGGCCTCATCGTCGCCTTGGTCGCACTCTTCCAAGAAAGAATCTGCGGGAGTTGAAGGGGCGCGCGGATGGGATCTCTCCAGAGCCGTCTGGTCTCCCTGACCAAACGTTTCTCCCTCAGGCGTTTGGTCGCCTGAGCCTTCGCTTCTGTAGTTCGGATCAGTGGCCGTCTGCATAGTCCGAGCCATTGTGTCCTGCACAGACACATAAATGGTCGGAATCTAAGGCAAAGGGTGGTCCCAACACCCCGAGACAGCACTCCCAGTCCTAGACTCAGTCGTCCCAGGTGACCGGCTGGACTCTAACCTAGGTTGTGCCGTGTGTGTTGGTGATGCATCCATTTATTACAAGAAAAAGAGCTGAGAGAGGCAGAGACGATACCTTTGGATTTGATATTTGAAGACAGACGGGTCCAGCTGGGTTGATGGAGTACTTCCTTGCTTGCGCTTGACTCAAACGGATGACTTCTGCTCTCTCAAAGTTCTTTCTCTAGAAATTTTTTGTAAACATAAAAGATTATGAGGGTAAACGACTATATATATAGAGGGTAAATACGGGGGCATTCCCGTAATTTGCTCGGAAGGCAAACGGTTACTCTTTGATGGTAAAATTACCACCAATCGGAGCGTGACGCGTGTCACAGATGCTACGTGGTGTGCCACGTCACATCTATGAGGGGCAAATGTTTAAGGTAATTTACCCCGCCACATGGTCCAACCAGAGGACGACACGTGTCAGCCTCAGGGTGGTCCAAAGTGGACCAATCCCTGCTTGACACGTGTCATTCCAGAAATTAGGGGGGAAAAATGGCGGCCTTCAGGCCCAAATCCCGAGAAAGCCACAATGCGGCGCAGCCCACCAATGATTAGGGATCAATGACCTAATCAGGAGCACAAATCCCAATGACCCTATAAATAGGGAGATTTCCCTCTTTTGGGAGACACGTTTTTCCATTTATTACAAACAATCTCTGTGATAGAGACATCTGAGCTTGGAATCCGAGCACAAACCCACCTAAATTTCCGCACCTTTTTCTCTCCCTTCAAGTTTCTAACTTGTGCGTCGGAGGCGGAGCACCACCCATTTGGTGTCTCCGTTTGTTTTGCAGGTACAGCTCACGCCGGATCAGTCTTCGTGTTGTAACTCTTCCGAGGGACAAAAACACCCAAAACATCTACAATCTCAAATGGTTTACTGATTCGATATCCCATGTCAAATAGCTATATAATTAAGAGCTTACAATAATGCATAAGTACAAACATCTTAAGAAAATTATTATTACCCCCTTAGCTGTTTGTTGTCTTATACGGAGTATTAGAGTTAGGATAAAATTTCACTAGATGTCAAAAAGGTTTAAAGAGACTAGGTACGTACTTAGAAGGTGGCTTAAGCCTTCATTGAGTTCATTCACTGCAGCTAATTAATGTTATCAATTGATCTTATGGACATATAAATTACTAAACGAAATATTAGTATAACTAGGGTGACTACGTGTGTATCGCGCGCGTCATTGCTTGCTGTTTGTGGGGAGCTCTTTCATTTGTTGGCAATATAATGATAGAAAAATATATAAACAAACATTTTTATGGGTATAAATGTCTGCATACGCATACTAGCTATTCTTAAGACCTTTTTTTAAAAAATAATTATTGTAAATGATGACAAATAAGTACAAGTAATAATAAACATTTTAGAGGGCGGGTAATAATTGTCCAAATTAAATGCTATTAATCCGTAATATATATTTGAATATAATAGTAATATATATGAATAATAAAATATTATACGGAGTAGGAAATAAATTATTATATTTAGAGGCAATTAACATCATATTATACGGAGTAATATTAATTAATAGAGGCATATAAGTAAACAAATATTTTAAGGATACAATTATCCTCCCAATATTCATAAGTGTATGTGTATTCTCATACATACTTTTTTAAAAGATAGGGATTAAACTTCTATTAAGGGTGAGTTTATCCCCAGACTCGGACCCAGACTTTAGACTCTGCTACATCAGCTTTCCACTAACTTTAAAATACTTTTATATTATTCAGATTCATACAAGACTTTCTCCAAATTTACACATTATCCCAAGACTCACTCCAAACTCATTTAATCCTTTTCAAAATATTTTTATTTTTTTGTAAAATATCTTTTTTTATTTTTTAAAAATTATTGTAAACTTTTGGTTGGTGAGGTGGCTATTTTTCATTGGCCTTGCAAAGTCTTGACATGGGTTTGGATTTTCCAAACTCCATGTAAGACTCACATGAGTCTTTGATGAGTTTATTGCAAGAATCTTGAGTAAGACTCATGTTGAGACTTTGCTCAAGACTTGCAATAAACTTACCCTAAGTTCTAATGCAAACAAATGCGAGCTTGGAATAAGGTCGGTGTTAGGGCCTATAATTAGTGTTTATATTGTAAGTTAACGGGCCTATTTCTTGAGCTCTAATCACTTGTATAAATAATCTACTCTACACTCTAATGAAACTACGGAAAATATTTTCGTGACATGGTATCGGAGCCAAAATCATTCTAATCCCTAAAATCATTTTCTACTTTCTACATTCTAATCCCTAAATTAATTTCTATCATAATCTCTACAATCAAATTTCTGGATTTTTTTTAATCAAGCAATTTCTACGAATCTTCTTGCTGTTCTAAATCAAATTTTGGGTCTTTCCCAATTCTACTGGTTTACTCCTTCAATTGATGTGCGTTGCTTCCCATACTACTACTCTCCATCTGTGCGCTGCTTCTCACAATACTACTACTTCTTCTTCTTGCTCAAAAATGGTGAATGACAACAATCGTATGTCTATTTCTAATTCCAACCGCAAGTCGATTCTCAATTGTACCCACTGCAATCGATCGGGCCACGACTATAATTCTTGCTTTCTTGTCCACGGCCTTCCCGATTGGTGGCTGGACAGATATGGAAGTAAAGGCCGTTCTTCGTCTTCGGCAATTGCTTCCCCTGTGTCGCAAGATCAGCCAGGTCGCGGAGATATCCCGCGCCTCTGTCCCGCGGCTGCTGCACCCACCACACCACTTCTGCCAGGCCGCGGGGATATCCCGTGACTCCACCCCGCGGCCACTGCTTCCTCCATTGTTGCTGCCCCTCGGTTTACTACTACTCCTCTTTCTTCTATTTTGGGTGTGTTCGATCCTTCTATGAACTCTATGGCTAGTGACTCTCTATCGTTCTCATGGATTATTGACACTGGAGCATCCCATCATGTTACCGGCAATGACAATTTTTTACAAGATGCTCATTCTATTATCTCTTGTCCCGTTGGTCTTCCCGATGGTGCTAAGGCCATGGATACTAAGGAGGGTCGTGTAGTCTTGGCGGATGGCATTACTCTTGAACATGTTCTATTTGTTCCACAATTAAATTGCAATTTGATTTCGGTGTCTAAGTTAATTGATGATTCTAATTGCTTTGTCCGATTCACTAATTCTCTTTGTGTTATACAGGATCAATCCTCGGGGAGCTTAATTGGAGGCGGTGAACGTATAGATGGACTATATTATTTCCGGCGTCTCCCTAAAGTATGTGCACTCTCAGGTCCGGAGATTTCTACATTTGAGTTGTGGCATCGACGTTTGGGGCACCCATCGGAAAAAATTGTCAAATTGCTTCCTGCTATTCGAGGTACTACTGGTACTAAGTGTTTACATTAAGCTTGTGAAATTTGTCCTCTTGCTAAACTGACCCGAGCAAGTTTTCCTGATAGTGATAGTCGTGCTAGTCGTATTCTTGAAATGATACATTGTGATTTGTGGGGACCATATAACACGGTTTCTACTTGTGGTGCTCATTATTTTTGATGATTTGTTGATGATTTTTCACGTGGTGTTTTGGTTTATTTATTGAATGACAAAATCGAAGTTTATTTTTCTTTTTGCTCTTTCTTTGCTATGGTTAAGTGTCAATTTGATGTCAATGTTAAGTGTGTGCGGAGTGACAATGGCACAAAATTTAAACCCATGATCCCATATTTTACTGAAAATGGCATTATTTTCCAAACCTCTTGTGTTGGCACACCTCAACAAAATGGTCGGGTAGAGCGTAAACACCAACATATATTGAATGTGAGTCGTGCTTTGATGTTTCAAGGTAATTTGCCGATTACTTTTTGGGGTGAGTGTGTCCTTGGGGCGGTGTATTTGATTAATCGTACTCCTTCTACTTTGCTAGCCAATAAAACCCCATATGAAATTCATTTTGACAAAGAACCCGATTTTGATACTTTGAGGGTGTTTGGTTGTCTTTGTTTTGCTCATAACCAAAAAGCTAAGGGTGACAAATTTGCACCTAGGAGTAGGAAGTGTGTGTTTGTGGGTTATCCTCATGGAAAGAAGGGTTGGAAGTTGTATGATTTGGAAACTGCTGATATTTTTGTTTCCCGTGATGTTAAATTCCATGAGAATGAATTCCCGTTTGTGAAAGATAGTGATTCGGTTTCTTCTACTGTGGGTGCCGAGAGTGTGCCTAATGACTATGTTGGTGTTGATCACGATTTTCTTGATGATTTGGAATATGTATTAGAGGTTGGTGAGGGTTCTCTTGTGCCTGAAAACTCTTCACAACCCCGTGCTACTGCTTCTACCCCCCACGGGTCACCTGAGGCTGTTGTCCATGACCACGGCAGTCCCATGGTGTCCCCTGCCCCCTCTGCTGCCTCCTCGGCCACTGGTACGGGCAGTCTTGATGTGGTTGTTCCGGACTCCTCTTCTACTTCTCCTATTGCGTTGGACCGTGCTCAACGTCCAAGGCAACCCCCGGGGTGGCACCGGGATTATGTTGCACACACTATATCTCTACCTAGTTCATCTATCTCGCAATGTTCATCGCCTACTCCATGCTCCTCAGGTACTCCTTACCCCTTAGCACACTTTGTGAATTGTGATAAATTTTCTATGCAACACCGTGTTTTTATTGCAGCTGTTGATACGGTAGTTGAGCCTCGTAATTTCAAGGAGGCAATGCAAGATGAGGGGTGGAAAGCGGCTATGCAAACGGGAAATTGATGCATTAGAAAAAAATGGCACATGGGTAATGGAAAAATTGCCTCCGGGTAAGAAATCTCTTGGGTGTCGATGGGTTTACAAGGTCAAAATTAATTCTGATGGCACACTCGAGAGATTGAAGGCTCGTCTTGTTATCTTTTGC